AAAAAAAAAAAAAAAAAAAAGGTTGTGTAAAATCCACTATTTAGTTAATATACTCAAAAAGTGCTAGTATTTTGAGACTGAACCATATGAAATTGCCAATTATCAAATGATTAAACCTAGAACAATGTAAGCACTGCATTCTTGTTTTATGATTTGTCATTCTCAAGAGTGCTAATCACATCTACAGACATCTATCAGAATGAATTACCTTGGATGTTAAGGACTGACGTTCACTGAACATATGCCAAACATACTCTGGAGACTTTTCACAACAGGTTATGTGCAAATCTAGGATCTCAACTTTTACTAGGAAAGGGGTACTTAACATGACTACAGAACTTTTTCACTTGTACTTTTATTAAGTTTTTAAAACGAAAAAAAATTTTTTTTTAGAAACAGCATCTTGCTCTGTTGATCAAACTGGAGTGCAGTGGTGCAATCATAGCTCACGGCAGCAGCCTTAAACCCATGAGCGCAAGCCATCCTCCCACCTCACCCTCCCAAGTACAGATGAACACCGCCATGCCTGGCTATTCAAAAAAATTTTTTGTGTGTGTAGAGACAAGGTCTTGCTATGTTGCCCAGGCTGGTCTCAAACTCCTAGCTTCAAGTAATCCTCCTGCTTGGGCCTCCCTAAGTGCTGCGACTACAGGTATGAACTACCATGCTTGGTCATACTTCTGCTTGCACTCTACTATTTTTTCTTTTCTTTTTTTTTGTTTTTTGAGACAGGGTCTGGCTCCGTCACCCAGGCTGACATGCAGTGGTATAATTTCGGCTCACTGCAACCTCTGCTTCCCAGGCTCAAGCAATCCTCCAGCCTCAGCCCCCCAAGCAGCTGAGACTACAGGCAAAAACTAAGAGAGCCACCACACCCAGCTAATTTTTGTATTTTTAGTAGAGAAAGGGTTTCACCATGCTGGCCAGGCTGGTCTGGAACTTCTGAGCTCAAAATGATCCACCCGTCTCTGCCTTCCAAAGTGCTGGGATTACAGGTGTGAGCCCCCAAGCCTGGCCTATTTTTAATTCTAAAAAAAAAAAAAACCTGTTACCTGAAGCATGGATTCACTACAGAACATGGATTAAGGTCCATCAAGGCTTTCTAGTGATACTTATTTAAAAATATAAATCAAGGCTAAAAACATTAAAAGAGAGAGAAGGCAATCAAATTTCTAGGATTACCTTCATTCCTTTGCTCAAAACCCTTTAATATCTTCCTGCCTCACTGAGTCAGTATTCTCTTCCCTCTTCTACTCCAGCCGCAATGGGCACCTTGCTGTCCCTCAGACAAGCAAGTACAGTCCTCTATTGCTTAATAACCAGGACGCATTCTGCGAAACGTGTAATTCGGCAATTTCGTCACTGCGTGAACATCACGCACTGTACTTAAAACTAGATGGTACGGCCTACCATACACCTAGGCTATATGGTGTATTTGCTCCTGGGCTACAAGCCTGTACAGGATGTTACTACACTGAATACTGTAGGCAACTTTAACACAATGGAAGTATTTGTGTATCTAAACATACCTAAACATTAAAAAGTTACAGAAAAAATAAGGTATTTAATATATAAGACCACTGTTAGAGACAGAAGTGTCATTTGGCGCACGACTGTACCATACTACTCCTCAGGGCTATACGGTTTACCTCTACACGAACGCTCTTGGTAAGTATGCCTCGCTTCATCTCCTTCAGATACCTGCTTAAACGTCATCTTCTGGAAACGGCCTTGTTCGACCAACTTACTAAAATCGTAGCCCAACTACAAGTCACCAATACTTTTTTCCTAGTTGTCTCTCTCTTCCCCGCCGTAGAATGTGAACTATAAAAGGAAGGGAGGCCTTTGTTTTATGCACTGCTCTACCTCCAGAGCCTACAACAGTAGAGATTCTCATAAGAATCTGCAGAACAAGATGTTGCACAAAGACAGTAAATATACACGTGCCTCCAATTAACACTTTCGTCACACATACCAAAAAAAGCCAAGAAAACAGTTGGAAACCGTGCACGCTCTACTACTTGGAATGAAACAGCTATACTTTAGAAGGAAATGCTTTATTTTCAAAAAAACACACTAACAAATGGCTGGAAGACAAAACATGAGTGCGAAACGCATGCAAGCTGCCCTTCTGCTGGTAATGAACGCTCTGGTTTATCACAAAAGACGTTCCCAGGAAGACGAAATTCCAGCTAAAGATCAAGGACAAACGGAGGCAGCGGTAACATCTTCGTGATATACCGTGACTGGGAAACGCACGCGATTTCCCACCAGTTGAAACTCCAGAGCACGAAGCAAGACGCGGGAACCCGGTCGGAGCGTTCGCCCCGCGGAGGCCCTGGGAGAGAAAGCGCTCACAGAACCGCACCTCCTCCTCGCGGCGCCAGGCCGGCGCGAGGGCTGGGTCTGCGGGCGCGGGGGGCGTGGGGGCGTGGGGGTGCGGGGGGACGGGCCGGCTGCGAGCGGGCGGCGCGCCCAGGCCACCGTCCGCTCCCGCTGCTTTCCGTCGCGGAGACGGAACGGGCTGCACCTCCGACCCGCACCCGCACGGCGGGAGGCAGCCGCGGGCGGACCCTCCCCTCCGCCGACGCGGGCCGCGGCCCACGGCGCTCCCCAGGCTCCCGCTCACCCGGCTCCCGGTTGATCTCGATGTCGAAGTGGCACTGCGGCCGGTCCTGCGCCCCCATCGCGGCCGAGGCGGCGGCAAGAGCTGGGAGAGAGGGGGAGGAACGCGGTCAGGGCAGGGGCGAGGCGGGCGGAGACCGAGTCCGCGCCGCGGCGCCTCACGCCGGCCTTGGCGACCGCGCAGGAGGCCCCGACGCGGCGCCCTCCCGCCCCGGGCCTCGCGGCTCCCGCGCAGCGCGCACGCATGCGGGCGAGCTCTTCACCTGGCTGGCGTCCAGCCGGAGCCGGTCCCCGTGGGCAGAGGAGAAAGCACCGCCACCGCAGCCAGACCCCAACGCCACTAACGGAACGTCAGCGCCTGCGCCCGGCCCCCTGGTGCCACGCTAAACCCCGCGAGAGTCGGCAGAAATACCGCGAGAGGACAGGCTAGACGGGGGTGGTCACCCGACGGCGGCGGCGGCGGGGGCGCGCACGGGGGCGTGTCTGACGAGCTCCCGCGGAGATTCGAGCCGGCGCTCGCATACCTGCGCGCGTCCTGTTTGCCCCGCCCTGTGCAGTGAGTCGCCCAATCCGAGAGCCGCGGATGCGCCTGCGCCCTCCGTCTCGTCCCGTGCGGCTGAGAGCGTCCGCGCACCGTTGGACACCGCGAGAGTTCCGTTTTCCGGCGCTGTGAAGGAACTGAGACAATCCGGGCTTTGAGTGTCCGTTAGCGGAGGCGGCGTTTTCTGTGCTTTTTTTGGCCTGGGGTGGTTACGTCCGTGTCCTGCTGTTAGGCCGTTTAGGCTGAGGAATGCGTTCCTTCCCGCTTTGGCGCCAGCGTCACTGGTCATCCTGCGTATATGTATATATATAGATGTGGGGTTTCACCATGATGGCCAGGCTGGTCTTGAACTCCTGACCTCAGGTGATCCACCCACCTCGGCCTCCCAAAGTGCTGGCATTACAGGCGTGAGCCATCGCGCCCGGCCCCATTCTGCATCTTTCGTGAAGTTTCAGTTCCAGTCTTCGGCCCATTTTTAAAGCTGGTCCTTCGAGTTTAACAGTTGCGAATGCAGATGTTTTGTTAGATGGACACATGTATGTTCTGAATACAAATCTTTTGTTACATAAACTGTTGCGAAGTCTTTCAATCTGGGCCTTGTCTTTTCATTATTTTGACCATGTTTTTGGTAAAAGAAGTTGTTAATTCTGCTGAAGTCACTTGGTCATTTTTTTTTTTTTTTTTTTT